TATTTATTACTGAAGCGAGTGGGAAAAATTGATTGACCAAAATGGTACATTACCAACCATATATCCATCTGAGCATATACGTATGCATATATATTATGTTTCAATATTTTTATCTTGATAAAGTGTATGATTTTGAGTTAGTAATCAAAAATAACGATGCTATCGTTTTTTCTACGAAGGGCAACTGTAGCGAATGTCGCCGTTTTGGATAGGCTTTTTTTTTTCAGATCCAAGGAAACTGAGAATTGGAGCACCATCCTTGAGTTCCATTATCTGCGGATCGTGTTTGTTAATCATTCAAGACCAAGCGAGATTTCTTGATAAAAAATGTGCGCATTCGTATGAGATTTGTGCATTGGGTATTGGAAAGGGATCGATGACTAAGGCTTGATAACTTCTTTATGGTACCTTTCTCACTTTCTGGAAGGGTGCGCACATTTGGAGAAGCCATCTTTGCGATAATATGAGGGCATCTGAGAATGGGCAGTTGTCGGTCATCTTGTAAGTCTGCGCGAGTTTGACACTGCGGGATAAAGCGAAGGATCTTGTTTCTGATGACATGGATATATTCCAAAAACATTAGTACAATTTTCTTATAAATTAAACTGCGCATGAGGAACCACTGAAGAAAACTGTGCTTCTAGTTGCACAAAGTGCGTTCCATTATTTACTTTGTGTTTGTCAGGTTAAATAGTTGGTTTAGATTCATTTTTCCTTTCTCTTAAAGTTGCGTACCTTTATAGACTGAGTTTATCATTGTTTTGTTCGAGAAAATTATCCTCACATTCCGAATGAGTAGGGCGTATTTATCATTCGTTTCTTTTTCTTGCTTGGATAAGAATAAAATAAAATTGACCATATCGGCAGTGCATTTTTCAATTTATCTCTCCTTCTCCCTGTGTTCTTTTCCTTGACCAAAGAAAAAACGCATACTGTTAAAGATAATCTAAATAATGAATTTTTACGCAACCATCTTAATTTTTATTGTACTATTTAGTACACTCTCTCATGCGGACACAACTCCGTATGACCCTGCCTTCCATATTTTCGTCCCTCAACACTGGATCAATGACCCTAATGGCCCCTATCGAGACCCTGTCACAGGCAAGATCCACTTGTACATGCAGTACAATCCCAACGGGGCCGTTTGGGGTGATATGTCGTGGTATCATGTAACTTCGGATGACTACGTCAAGTGGGAGCGCAGCGAAACCTTATCCATGGTCAATGACCTCTGGTACGACTTGCGTGGTGTGTATTCTGGCACGATGATCAACAACCATTTGGGAGACCCAGTTGCCATTTATGCTTGTGTCGAGAATGCGGGCGCTGAGGATGTTGCTCAAGGCAGGCCTGACATCCAGCGTGTGTGTACCGCGAGCCCATCCAAAGCTGATCTTAAGGGCAAACGCACGCTGGACATCTTAGAGAAGAACCCAGTCAACCCCGTCTTAAGCGAAGACGACGTTCCCGGGCTAGTTTACCTCAACAACTTTCGTGACCCGACAGAGTTGTGGGCCGATCCGGCACACCCTGATGAATGGCTCCTTGCAGCCATTGCACGTGTTAAGGATGATGAAGGTGACAACGCGCATGTGGTTCTCTTCCGCACCGCAGACCCCACGTTTATGAGAGGTTACAAGTTTTCACACACCCTCTACACGTACCACCTTGAACCAATGTTGGAGTGCCCTGACTTCTTTACTGTAGACAGCACCAATGGGTACTTTCTGAAGCTTTCGACAATGGAAGCGCGTCGTGACTTTATCTTGTACGGCAAGTACCAGCCTAACGAAGCGAAGGACCAGTACGTTTACGTTGAGGACACTGACCGCACCAACACGTTCATTGACTTTGGGCCTTACTATGCGTCCAAGACCTTCTACGACCCAATTCTGAAGCAGCGCATGATTTGGGGCTGGGTTTCCGAGGAAATGGAGCAAACGCAGAATCTGAAGGTTCAGGGATGGGCTGGCGTGCAAGTTCTACGTGGAATCGTCTATGATGAGAAGCAGAAGCGTCTCAAGTACCCACCAATACCACAGTTGAAAGCTCTGCGCAAGGCGCGCCTCCTCAACAGGACGCTGGCGCTTTTGTCTGACACTGCCAGTACCGTTCTGACTCCGTTTGAAGCAGGGACGATACATCAGGAGATTATTGCAAAATTTTCTTTTCCCGCAAGCCTTTTTGATGGAACGAAGGAATACACCAAGGAAAACGCCCCTGAAGTGGGCTTACGCATCCGCACTAACACCAATGGATTCGAATACATAGCTGTGGCACTGAAGATGCCGGCGGCGACGCCTAAATCAAACGTATGCCATGAATGCACCTACCCAAAAGGACAGAACACCATCTTTAAGATCTATCCCACCAATGCTAAGACTGAAGCCGCGATGAACTGCAGTAAGGAATGCGCAAAGGAGCGCACCTGTGAATCGTGGGCTCTGGATGAAACAGAAAATAAAGACATGATGCAGTGCTCATTGTTCTGGGACTACAGTTCTAAGGTATCTACCTCAAATAAGGTTGTGTCTAGCGGTGTCGTAAATGAGCCGCTTCTATATCTAGAGCGTACTAAGTCGGGTACCATTGGCTACAACTCGCCACTGCACGGTCGTGCGCCGTTGGCATCCAGCACCGAATTGGAACTACATATTTTCGTTGATAATAGTGTCATTGAGGTGTTTAAGGACGACGGTCTTCAGACCATCAGCGGCCGTGTGTACATCCCCGATGGAGTCGCTCACAGCGGTGTTGGACTTTACACCCGCAATACGGGTGATGCGCTTGTTAGCGCCAACATTCAGGTATTTTCTATGGGCACTATATGGAATTAGCCTCGCCCACCTAGGGGGCCTGTCTAACTTCACCAACACCCTATAAATGTTCCTCGTTTATTACCTTTGCTGGAGTCGATCAGAATGATGAAGGAGGAGAAAAGCAAGTTGCCTTAAGTATGTTGTTTATTTCAAAAACTAAATCTAAGGAAATCTTAACTTAATTTGTCTTTGTTTTTAGAATACTTAAGTAGGTAAAAAGGAATATTTTTTTTGTGATTTTGTGTTATTGGTTTTATTTTTCTGGTTCAATAAACGTTGAAAAGCAAGAAAACTTTTAAATTTTTGGTGGTATTTGTTTTATTCTATCGGTACATTAAACGATGGAAAAATAAAACATTTTTATTTCTTATGTTTATTATTATTATTTCATATCACAATTAATGATGAAAAAAATCAAGGTTTATGTAAAATAGTTATGCAAACAAGTCGTGTTAAAAAATTTTATCCATATGGATATAACAAAATGTAATTTGGGCTATTAAAATCTTTAACCTTTATTATTATTACAATACAGGTAGGAAGACACAAATATTGATATTTTTGAAACAAACCTAAGTCATTTGAATTTACTATAATTTATTTGAATACAACGCGTTGGCCAGATTATGGCTTCTGTTTGGATCCCTTGAATAGAATGGAGAGGGGGTTGATCATGTTAACGCGATAGTTCAGTATTAGTGCCTCTCTTTGTTGATTTTGAGTTTATGCTAAGCTAAATCAAAGTTTTTTTTCTAGGCGTATGAAATAGGTGTCAAGGATCTTTTTATTTCATATACCGACTGCTTGGTTTCAATAGGTAAGAGTTCTCGCTCGTTTCTACTGAACATTCTAACGCAATTTTACCAATCCGGAATACATCCGATCGTTCTCACCAAACGTTCTGCAGGCATACTCTTCCGTGGGATCGTAGACACGGTCCAAGGAGTAACCCCACCGTCTAGGGTTTCCATACCGGAAAGACATCCTTATTTGTGAATCCAAGGTCCTAATAGGGTGTGGTGTTAGGGGGAAAAACTAAAGGCACAAAGGTTTGAGTATGATTCAGACGTCT